CAGCTGCGTTGCGGAGAAAATCATCCCGGCTAGTGTCAACAATGGCGATATACACGGCTGATCTGATTGCAGTGCAGGAGTGCTCTCTTTCATCTGTAATGCTGGAAAACAGATCATGTAGCTGAAGCTCTTATCTTGGAGATGGATTCTGACAGCCAACACAGGCTTCTCCTGTTGTTTTTTTTTTTTTACCAAGCTCTTAATCTTCTATTTCCTCTAGTGCACCTCCCTCCCATTGCTGTTGTTCTTTTGTCCCTTACTTTCCTACCTTACATCCCCACCTGTCTTTAAAACAGTTTAAAAAACTATAAAAACTTTATTCTCCTTCTCTGCCTACAAAGTGTCTTTTCTTTCTGCCTACTTCCCATCTATCTTTTTCATACTCAAGCCTCCCTGTCCCTCCCTCTGTCCATCACCTCTGCATCTTTCCCCTCATTTTCTCACCTTTCATCCAAATTCAGTACCTTTCCCTTTTTCAACACTCTTCATGGCCTTTCCCTTACACTTCCATTCACACGCGTTTTCCACCCATTTATTGTTTTATCAGTTTCTTCATTGCTGGCTAAAGCTAGCTCTGAGAGCCACATGTACCCATCGCCTGATCTTGAGGAGATAGCTGATCCCACTGATGCTATTTTAAGCCTGCCATGCATACACTCCCTCCTCTTCCCCTCCACTGAGAGCTGGCAGCCACAGAGGCACATGAAACCAGCATTCTTCCCTCACAACCAGACTTTCTCTTCCTGATTGTGACTTTGAAATCAGTATAATAAACTGTATTGTCAGGGGACGAGCCGGTCTGACAGAAATAGCAGATTTCTCTCCATATGCTGTTGCTAAATAGATAATTTAATTGTATTGAAGTTTTGTCAGAGGACTTGGAGTAGGTAGAAAACAAGTTTTTTATAGTTGATGTGGCTGCATCATTCACTGAGAAGAAAAATGGGATCATGATTGCTCCATTTCCGTCTTCTATGTTTCATTATTCTTAGGACTTTAATTGACATGCATGATCAGTGAAAGTGCCTAAAGTGGAAAAGGTTGCTGTATGAAGACTGGAGAAAGCATAGTTTGAAATTATTATCTGGGACATAGGCCTTTCCCTGGTCAGGAAAGTGCATGACTCATATTTCATAGTGTTTGTTGGTGTGCTTCGGAATATAAGAATTCCCTTTAAGTCAACATAATCAGACCTTCATTTTATGAAGGACCAGACAGTTTTTCTTGCTACACACATGACCTTTCTTTTTGTATCTTGTTCATGCCAGCTCTTTCAATTTGTATTTCAGTATGTAGATTAAATTTGCTCAGTATTTGAGTTTAGTGTTAGTGGAGCACAGTGGCGGGGGCGATTCATCGACGGAATCAATTACAGAAATACGTAGATTTGCATAACATGTGTCAGCCCGTCGCAATGAAGTGCTACGTCTGCTTAAAGCAGGGATATTCCCCCGGAAAACAGACTGCAGCCATTCATTTCTGCACCGCTGATGCTATATTAACGTAAGGTTAAATCATGTGTCATCCAACATTTTATATTTTCAGCCATGTGTGAGTGAGAAAAATACCTCAATCTGTGACTGTGTGTACAGTCTGTAATTCGTTTCAGCTATTTTCTTTGCCCCACATTGATGCAAAAACACATTTGCCAGTGATTATCTTATTGCTTATTGCACGCCGGTGATGAAATAAATCCATATTATAAACATTGTCACGTATTTAAGTAAAAATACTGATTTCCGGTTCAGGGACAGGGTTGACATACATTGTTTTAATTAATTTACGTGTCACAGCAATCCTTTTGAATTTGAAATTCAACATTTTCTGATCAGGCATCTGACAAATTATTGGGTGTGAATGCTGCAAGCATTCTTCCGTCACGTTTTTTTGTCAGCTAACTAGTCCACCAGATTTTGACGTAGAAACTCCGTTCAAACTCCAAGTTGTCCGGCTCATTGAGGAATGGGGTGCTATTACTTTTGTCATTGATACCTTGAATACTTTTGAAAATATTGAAGGTTTTCCAGGAAAATTCTCCCATTATATGGGATGGGTAATGGAGAGAGTGTTGAAATCCTCCTCATACCTACTCCACTTTGAAAACTCACCAGTTCAGCACACTTTCAGCTACAGACTTGATTTAAACTGTAAATTGGTCACATGAAATCTATTAATGATGTATTCAGGTTTTTGATATATATTATGGTTTGTTCACGGTCGCTGTCGAAGTTTTATGCTTTTTTCTGAGTTTATAATGGGTGTGTATTGCGTGAGTTAGAGTGGGTGACATAATCACTACAGTGTAGCAGTCTCGGAAAATCGTCTTAGAATTTTCTCTTTAACCTGCTGGCTTGACCACAATTTTAACTCTTCATGCATAATTTTACACCAGAAACGTAGTAAATTTTGTTGTGGTTCCTCACATGGGCTTTTTAAATCCCTCGGAGTTATAGATTTATCTCTGTGTCCTTCCAAAAGACAAGGCGTGACAGAAAATTCTCCATTGGCTGCCATTGTAAGTTCTCCTCAAATTTTCTTGACCAGAGCGTACCAGTTTTTCTACTCGCCAAAGTGGTCACTTTTTTCAACTTTATCCAAACAAAAAATACATCATATTGTTCACAAATGCCTTCTGCTGCTCCTGGTCAAGTCATTTCGTCGATACGATCTATAGTTTAGTCTCTGGGGAGATTTGTTTGAGGCAAAGATTTAGATTATTTCAGAGGGATATTCCTATGTGTCTCTGTTGTAGAGCTGGTTACCTTGGTGACATAACTTAGCTGATCAAAGATCGAAGGACTGGGTCCTCTGTTCTGATTGGTGGACTGAAGTTAAGCTATTTTGTGAACACTTGTCTTTGTACTCTTCACTGAACACATACACACACACATTAATACACTGAGATACAGCACACACACACACACACACACACACACACACACAGAGCCCTCAAAACATGGAGCTTTAAGCTTTACTGCATTGGAGAACACATGTATGCATAATTGTGTGTTATGCACACACAGTACACATGTATGCATAACTGTGCGCGCGCGCACACACACACACACACACACACACAGATTAAAGGAGACTTATTTGGCTTCTTATATTTTCTGTCTTATGTATGTTTCAGTGTCAGATGTTCACGTTAAACAAAGCTCTACTCTTGACTCTTAATGATGTCATACAGAGCTGGTTTTCCATATATGGTAATTTGCCTGCAGCCTCAATAACAACTGGCAACTCCTATGCTTAGTCTATCTGTACTGCTGAGCGGCATAATCATCCTGCTTCAGGATCTCGGCTTATCAGAACACAGTGAGCATTTGGGGGGGGGGGGACTTAAAGAGACAGGAGCATCTACTGCTTGTTTAAGAGAGAGGCTGAAATGAGAGCTTGCATGAAGTTTAGCAATCCAGTTTAGCATTAGCCTTCAACAGCCAGCATTCACACTGCAATTTCTCCAGAAATTGCACTGTCTAGTTATTAATATAACACCACAGTGACATGGAAATTAGACTAATTTTGAAATTTGTCACTGTTATTATTAATCTAATGTACTTTACTGTGCTTTACTAATGTGCTAGTGTGCTTGCACCAGGTATTTGCTTTCTTATTGTAGCTTATTGTTCTGTCTTCACGGCACTGTCCCAATGTTGCAGCTTGATTGACATAAAATCAATCTGTCTTGCTTCATTTACCATTTGTACAACATGATGCAGTGCATGAATTTCTTGTATACTGATTGATAAACTATTATGATAGGTAACGTGAACTTTGCTGTGTGTGAATATACAGTGTGGATGCAAGACACAGCTTGTGTTTTTGTGTACTTAACTCACCTGTTATTTCCAACCCTGCCTCGCTGCAGGTCACCTGATTCAATCACTTGCCTGCACAGCTGCTTCTCATTTCCTCATTAGCCTATCTGTCTACATATAGTGGGCATTTTACCCAATTTGCCTTAGCAGTTTAGCCGTTGGTTTCTGCCTTATTAATTGTTCTTGCCTCACTGTCTTATGTTGCCTGCCATGTCAGCCTGTTGCCAACTGTAAGCCTGCCTGAACTTACAATGCATGTTCTTAACTGTACCTGTTTCATGTAGACAGTCTGCTTGTGGGACCAAGTTTTGTCATAACCAGTGAAGAATGTCAACCTCACTGACGTTATGTATTAAGAACGCATTCTGATGTGCTGTACAATGTGGGATCTTAATCCCTTGTTCACTAATTTACTACTCCCTACAGAGCAAACACTAAAATGTACTCTAAAGTGAACAGTAAATTGAGATTTCAGAAGATTTAACCATCACTGATTATGTGTGGAGTGATGTGTAAAACGGGAAGCATTGCATTGTGATAATAAGCATAAAATAGTACACATGCCACTGTGTTAAGAATTTTTGAGGCAGTGCATAATTCACACAATTTTACAATACAAAATGGATTAATAGTACATAGGAATATAACTACTGTACACTATATTTACAGTAAAAAAGCTAGTAATTTTTGGACAGCCCACATGTCACTTTTCCTTCCTGCACCTCTATGAAAAAAATATAACAATATGCTTGTAGATTGCAAGTCATCATTAATGTCAACTAATGTTATTTTATTTCATAAAATGAGAACACACTGAACTCACCCAAATAGTTTTGGGGCATAGAGAAGTTTTTGATCTGAATGTCTTAGATCTAACCATAAATGCTGGTGATCTACAGTCAGTGTCCAATAATATGACCACCCGATGAACGTAAACATTTTGCCACAATAAACAGAATATCAATGCAGAGCCAAACAATGGATTGTTGAGCGTGACATTATTTTGCAAATGCGCTGGAGCTGATCAGTCATCTGCTAATTTGTGAAGGATTATCTCAAATGAATAATGAATGTTTTGATGTTACTGTCTTCCTTGAAGATGTGTGGACCCTTGAGGATTAGTAAGCACCACAGCAAAAGCTGATGAGAACTGAGAACAAATACAACTCTTAGTCCCTATACAGAATGTCTTGTTTATTGGTTTTTGTCATACACTTTCAAAATTACGATATGCTTTGTATCTAAAGATTCTCAGATGAATTGTACTGTCTCTAAAGGCAGAAATAGTAACAGCTGGAAAACAGGGCAACTCTCACCACGGATGTTTGGCTATATACAAATAACATTCAGTTTAATTTCTGGAAGTAAATGTATGTATAATGTAATTAATATAATTAAATTTTGTTTTTAAAAACTTCATGTTTTAATTTTTCCACAAATACCAAAATTGTATTTTAACTTATATTTTCTGAATGATTTGTGGTGAAATAAGTATGTCTGTGAACTCCGTATGCACCTGGTGAGAATTACTCTGTTTTGCAGGAGCTTGTTCACACGTCAGAGTTGACTTTTTATTCAATTTATGTTATACACCTGTGGAGGAACAGCAGACACTATCAACACATTTGTGCTTATCTTTTTTCTTTTTTTTTGCAAGTTTTCTTTTTTTCTGTTAAATATCTGTTTTTGACAATCTTTTTCACAACAACAGACTAAGTTAAATCTGTTATAAGTTTTGTATACCAACATGCTCACAATGTTTCTGAACCATTTTTTCTTTTTCTTTTTAGTGTGAGAACAACAATAATCAAAACAGATGTCGTTTTGTTTTGAACAGTATGTGCCAGGTCTACCTTGGTGGTATCAGAATAATGTGATTTTCTTTGTGGTTCTCAGGCTCACCAAAGGCAGGAGGAAAAAAACAGGGCCTGCAGTCATACACAGGTTTCACTTGCAGGACATGACTATAACTTCAGGAGAGAAAATTACAGACTCAAGTAGGGCACTCCAAAATGACATAAATTGACAAACTTAACATCAGTTCACAGTCTCTCTTCCTTTCTTTCCATACATCACATCTGACAAAAATGCAGTCATTTATCAAGATTTACATCATCTGTTCTTTCTGTTCTTTCATCTTTTCAGGCCCAAATAAATTAATATCATCTCATGTGCTCCAAAGGTGAAAAGTGGTTAGCTTGATCTACAGTCTCTCTCTCTTTCTCAAGACCGATGCCTTATTTGAGGCTTAGTCGTGCATGTAAGGTGATTATTAACATATTTATGTCTGTTTTAAATACTTTCTTGTTTGTGTTTCTTTATTAACTTTATACATTGTGCAAAAAACAGCTGTAGTCTACTCTAGAAGGCCACCGGGTGTCTTGGGATTCATTTTCACTCTGTTTAATGGCATTTTTAATCAACTCTTAGGACAAATCTGTGATTTTCCTGACTGATCAACCTTCTTGTTGAATCATTTCAAAGTAAACAAACCCAACACATTTTTAAAATGGCAGGAAAAGTCAAGCAACCACGATCCCTTATATCAGCTTGCTTTCTCGCTTAGCACAACTACTGCAGATGCCAAAAATAACTATGCAGAAAACTATGCAACGGTTCTCTCTTGACAATCAGACTTTCACCTTTCATATGAATCATGGTTTCACCAGTTTATTCAAACTGTTTACTGTGTTGGATCACTTGGCCAGATAATGATTGTACCAGCAACTGGAAACACATGTTTTATGGGTAAAAGGAGAACAATCTTGCAGTGTTCAAGTCAGCATGCTATTATTAGTAAGCTTAACAAAGTAAAAATCAACATGTGGCAAACTTTCGTCTGGCCTAATGCGGAAATTTAGATAATCCCTCCTGTATTTATAAGCTGTATAACCTGCGTATTGGTGACTTTTAATCATAAGCCTTTGTTGTTTGTAACTGGTCAAAGTGAACCTACTGTGCTGTATGTTATCTAACAACAAAAATGTGTGAAAAGATGAAATTTCTTCCTGGGAACGGGGAATACAATACTTGTACTTTTTATTATTTTATTACTTTTATAATTATTTATATATAGTGCAGTCAGTCTTTGTTGTGTGGCTCTTTACTCCAGCACATGCGATTTTGAAATGAAACAGACTGTGATTGTTCTGATTGTCAGCTTTAACTTGAGTGTTTACATCCACAATAGGCTGGTTGGGAAATATTGAAATGTGTCCCCCAAATGAAGCTGTCTTATTCAGTATATGGTTGAAAATGCTTTGTAGTGAATACCACCCCCTCTGCCAGCCCTGTACTGCAGCCGTCACTTCTTGCTGTTATTAGGTGCTTTTTGCATTTAGTTGGGTATTCAACATTAAACACATAGAACCATAGAACTCTTTAGTTGCCTTGCCTGTATGTTTATAATCATTATCCTACTGCACTGTCTTATAATTGTGGAGAAATTGGCTACAAATCCTACACTATCCACCTAACATGCATGTAAGTACCCTGAAAGACTGTTAGAAACTGAAAGTCAGCACTTTCAACACATAGTAATTGTTTAATTTCAAATCTAATGTTCTGGAGGACAGACCCAAAATAACCAAAAACAGATCAACAATTTCTGACTGCACTGAACAGTAACAAAAGCTTCAGGGTTACCATTGAAAACAGTTTTGAACAAACTTTTTCTTTTTGTTTTTAAAGGCCTGAACATATATTTTCAAATCTATTGATTGCAATTCAACATTGCTGAGATGTTCTAGTCACCAGTGACTGCCTCTGCACTGTCAGGCAAATGTGCAGACATTCTGCTTGTGACACTGTTGTCTTGAAAAGTAAGCAGCTTATCACTTGTTATAGCGGTAAATATATATGTAATAGGTATTTTTTATATTTTCCCTCAACCCAACACTCTAAATGACAAAACAAGAATGGCTGTAGTACATTAGTGTCAGTCTACTGCATCACTAAGAACAGTGTAGCAGCCACACCTCATGGATTTGGATGTTATATACAGAGAGTATAATACATTATTCTGGTTAGGTATGATTTATGGTATTTATTTACATGTGATATGTAGTCTAGGTTAACATATTTCAACTTCAACTGATAAGATAAATAACTTTAAAATGAAAATGTAATAGTCCAGCAATGTAGAAAAATAAGTCATATTCATTGTATTGACATGAGGAAAATGGTTTTGTATCTAGCACCTATTGCAACCATGTTACTTTATACTATAACAAACCCAAAACAGACATATTGGGCATCACTGAATATAACTAGGAATTCATTACTACCCATAAACTTGGCAATTTTACGGGCCTCATAAGGGCATTTGATAATCTATTAATTTAAAGGCCTTTAAATAGAAAAATAAGTATAATAGAACATATTTTTAAATTGTCCATATCTATTAACATAGGGATATTTTTAAATAAACGGATGTTTGAATATGAATATTCTCATTTATGTGCTTTTAATTTACCTTTTATACTTTGTGCTTTGTAAAAGCTATGATTGTTTATAGAGCCCACTCCTCTGCACTTTCATAAGGAGCAAAATAAATAATAAGAAGTTTTAATCAAGTTCCTCTGTGAAAATGCTTTCCGCTGTCTCATATGTTTTTCATTAATTTACTTAGTGTTACCAAGAAGGTCCTTCTAAACTTTCATCTATACAAGACAGTTCATCAGTATGGATACCCTCCTAACCGAAACTACATTTTTCATCACATCTGTCTATTCCACTATTCATAAATACCTTGGTTTTTACCTGAAGCTGTGATTGTTTACCAATCATATCAGCTACTTCCTCTTATGGAAACCTAGACTACATCTAATCAAATTTGTCTCATACATTGGACATGAGTTTGGAAAATCCCTTCTACAGTACTTTGGACTGCATGCTTTTTATTTGACCCTCGCAGATGTTCTTACAACTTACAAAATAAAGTTAGAATATTTAATATTTAACATATGTTCAATCTTTTTTATATATATATATGTTCTCCATTTTACTACAGTATGTCTCTCCTAAAACAGAGATTGTGATGTCAATAACACCTGTTCAAATAAACAGTTAACTAATCTGACAATGATTGTGTTGGATGGCATTTGTAAGTGTAGCACTAAGACATAACATACCACCACTGAATGTTTGTGTGTGTTTTTTAACGGTGGTCAATAATTTAATTTGCACCCTGAAATAATTTCTAAATCTTTTTGTCATCCAGCAAGAGATTTAAATAAACAATCAGCCTACCGGGAAAATTATGTACTTGAATTGCTCTCTTTCAAAATGGCTGTCTGCCATCTTGGTTTCTGTAACTACAATCACAACATATCCCTTAGACAGAGCCAGGAGTACATAAATAAATACAGAGATAGTGGCAAATTTTCACTAAATACATGAACAGCTTGTCTTTTTCAGTAAACCAGGGGCTTAATAACTGTAAACAAGAACAAAATCTACCAGCTCTCTCACCAGACCCAATCATCAATAACTATTGATCGCTGTGTCAACAGTCAGGGTTGAAAGCATCCATCTGTGTTGATGAGTTAGCCAGCAATTCTGTCCCATTTCTCTTTGTACTGTAGGTGTCAGCTTGGTTTAAATGATCTCATGATTGATATCTCTGCGTATATGTATGTGAGAATAAATGTTTTGGAGTGTTCTTTTCATTTTGGTAAAGTAACTGGCCAAAATGCCTATTATGAACAGTACATGGAAAATGTGTGTGTATACAGTAGTTGTGTTAAATTAGGACTTTTCCTTATTGAACCTATTCATTTTCACATGGTTTGACCATCAAATCAAATCCTTTGCTCTTTCATTTATCCTTCACACAGTAACCAGGGTGCTGCACCACATCCAGCCAACACGGCAAAAATCAATGCAATGCAGGGCAGTTTGATTCACTTGGGGCATGTTTGCAATATAACTGATAATACAAGAAAATGACTGGGGCTGCTGATGAAATTTTACCTCCTCCTACCTCAGAATTCCCCAAATGTTACCTAAAAGTAAAATAATCAACTTTTTACTCTGGCAGCACAGAGCTCTGAGTGTATTTATAGTGAGAACACTGTCGGGACAGCATGAATTATTAATGGGTCTTGATGCAGATTTATCTATGACCTCTAGGCCACCTGGGTGTGGACACACACACACACACACACACACACACACACACATTCACATAGTAAATCAATGTTTGTCTTTATGGTTTTTCAGTGAAATGATGACAGTGTGTGCAGTCCAGTAACCCTCGATAACCCCCAGTGTAGCCAACAAACCGAAGGTTTGCTGATGGTTTCATTGAGGATATCTTTTGCCCACTTGGATTGGTCCTTGGGGGATAAATTATTCAAAGCTCTGAAGCATTCAGCAAGTTACATTACATACTTACAGTACATACAGTAGGCCTAAACTACATACACACATACGTACTACATATGTCAATAAGGGAACAGTCTGGTTTAAATGCTTCGTACTAGCTTCTGTGTAGACTTCCACCCTACTGGCATAAAGGTGAAGTTTCCCCCAGAATTTGGATTCATATGAATTTAGTGTTATCCTCTTTGTTGCAAAAGTCAAGATCAAAAAACATGTAAACTGATCCTTGGCCTCATGTGTGTCCTGTTTCCTGGCTCAGAGGCGGTACTTTCTCAGCAGGTCAGCCTGCCACATGTACTTCCTCTCGGGGAACCTCTCTGGGATTTTGATCTTCCGGAAGTCTTGAATGCACTTTTCCAGCTCCTCCTCAACCGTCGGCTTCTCTTTAGCCTGCCTTTTCTTGCAGGTGCTGGTGTCGCGGGAGCTCGCGGTAAGCGTGCGCAGCAAGTCACTCTTCCGCCGCTGTTCGGACTGCTGGAGCATGGCGATGGGGCCCTTTTTCGGCGGCCTGTCCAAGGTTTGGACATTGGGGTGGGGGTGTGACTGGCGGCTGACGGGGCCACAGATGACCGTTCCCTGGGGAGAGCTTGCTTCTGACTGACTCTCAGAGCTGGAGGTGGAGAGCTCGTTGAAGGAGGTGCCACTCTCGCCCTCACCGTCGCCCTTGTGGTTCTTGCAGCAGCAGTCACAAGGAGGGGAGGACCAACGTGATGGACCACCTGGAAAGAGAGAACCAGAGAGGGAGCTAACATTAGAGTCTATGCAGAGCTGTTTTTTCCACATTTTCTTTCTTTCAGGACCAGTCATCATGAAGAGTAAAAAATGAGACAGTGGCACAAAGGGATCCACAAGACAGGAGAAGAAAAGCAGTGGCTATCACCTTAAACAAAGTGACATGGCATCAGGGACAACTGGCTTGCTTCCAGTCTAACCATGGAAGTGAGCAGGCTGACTGTGTGGCATGCCTGTATTTTTCAGAAAACTACCCTGTTTACATGCTGTAATTACAGTAAAACACTAAAGGCATGAACTGAAACAAAGAGGAGCTACTGCATTACAAATGGAAGAATTCTTAACTTTGCAAAGATGTTTAACTCTACAAGGAGAAAATGTAGCAATGGTGATACAGACAAACAATGTAGAAAACTAGTGTCTGTCAATTTTAGGCTGAACAGAGGTCAAACTGTACAAATACTGTATGTGTATCTTAATTTGTCAGAAGCCCGCTATCCTGTTTTGTTCAGCCAATTTATTAGCTAATCTCTAACTGCAGTTCTTAGCAAGGGCTACAAAACCCAGGAACAATACACATTCATGGCTAGATCCAACACTGAAAACTACTTTCAAATCAAAATGAGATCAAGAATCAAGAATCATGTTGGACCAATAATAGATGTTGTGATTCAATTGAAACTTAAACTTAAATGAAAACTTCACTGCATGCGTTGCTTTAGTGATTTGCAGGTCATATTGTAGATTACATATTGTTTCAGTAGAATTCAAATAACTGTATTTCAATTTATTGCAGGTCCCTAACTACATATCATTTAAATTTAATAGTTACAATTTAAAAACATTTAAATAACCTAGACATCTACAAATGTTTAGACATTTAGATGTCTCTTGACCTGCAAATCACCAAATCAGTGCTTACTTGGCAAACAAGCTGATATAGGTTAGCAGTATTATACAAAAAAAAGACTTCTTTGAAACAAGCATTTTCTATCCCCCTCTAACATTTTTTTTTAAATTCTATGCTATGTTTGGAGTTGAAAGTCACACATCAGAGTGGAGTTTCTATTGAACTGCTTTTCTCTCAAACACACATTCAGTAGAGTCGAGTTACACAACTGTTTGCACCTGACGTGGAGCTTTCACTAAGCAGGAATTTGTGTCACAAAAGTAGCAGAGTATCTCAGAATTGATGAGGTTGAGGCATTAGTAGCTGTGGTCTCAACCAATAACAAGACAAAAACAGTCATCCGCAATCATCGCTGAAGGGAATCAATTGCCAAGCCTAACCTCTGTGTGAGAGTACAGTAGGCTGAAAGACTAAGAGGAACCAGAGCAGCCCCACACCTCACTTCAGGAAGCAGACATTTATATTTCATGCTAACCTCCTGAATAATTGAAGGGGTATCTGTTGCTGATGGACTCCTTTCTGTTAAGTGAGGAGAGAGATCAAAACCCTTGAGGCAAACACACACATGCAACCCTCCCCCATCCCTTTCTGATTTCTGAGTCCCGCTCATCACTATTGAAACTACCACACACACAAGCCCTGGCGTCCGCATCAAGTTCAACAGCACCGGTGTTTCTTGTCATGTGCGGCCGAGCATTTTACTTCAAACGAAATAGTACAAGACTATTAATAATGCTGCTTAAAATAAATGCCCCCCTGCTCTTACTTCCCTTTGTCCTCAGCAGCGTGTTTGGCATGTTTATAGAGAGACAGCAGAACAGAAATCAATTCATCCAACCAATACTTATTCTGCCGTGTACTACTCATAAACAGCTACCACACATCATAACTACATTTATGTGGGTAGAAATTGAAGAAATATATCTTGGACAGCTTTTACACTGACTCCCACTGTTAGTATAAACTGCAAGAGGACTAATGTTAAGGACAGACTTAAACAGACAGACAGACAGACAGACAGAGATATATATATCTATATAGATATATAGATATATATAGATATATATGACTGCCTATGTGAAATACACATCACCCATTAGAGGCAGTGACAGAAATGGCACTCAACAACCCTTGTCACCCATAGCAGTTCTGGATCTCTTTAATTACCGCTGGCATATACAGCTTCCATATGCACAAACACACTTCTATGCACACATACACTGGCTTCACACAAAGACAGAGAATACACTATTGTACTACAACAGTGTAATCTTAAGGTACACACACAAGGAGTAATGTATCAGCCTCAGATTAAAAGATGTATTTTTTTTACAGTTGCAGGCTAGAGAACGTAACCCCATGATAGGTGCAATTATCTTCCCAACCTTTGTTTAGGGACATGGGTCAATTTATGTCACTGGGTGAATAGGTAGCCCTCTGATCGATGAGATGCAGACCACCCCAGACTGTGGTAAATTGTTAAATCTGCCAGTAGCCAACCTACCTGTCCAAATAAAATGAATACGATGAGACGAAATAAAAGTGCTGTAACATATGTTTTAAAGGACCTTGTGGTGTGTGTGTGTGTGTGTGTGTGTGTGTGTGTCCTTGCATCTGTACATTTGATATATGACTAGCGTTGGGTAATTATATCTACACCCATATAGTTCTTAATACTGCAAGTCTTGACAGTGACATGCTGCTTTAATTTACAGGAATTGGGAATGGCTATTAGCCTTGCTAACACTAAAGACAACCAGGCATGGATCTGATTTATCATTTTGACCTGGATTTCCTTTCAGACTTTTAGGTTCATGACAAATTGGCTACAGACACTTTCAAATCTAAGCCCTGATAACTGAGATTTGTAACATGTGTAATTGCGTGGTGTCTCTTCCCTCACATACTGTAATTACATTGCCAAAAGGATGTATCAGTGTGCAGTGTTGAAACTTCGTAGCACATTGAGGCATGTTGGTGGTAAACCTAATTTCCTCTGCGAATAACTGTGTGGACCTGCACTTTCTCAATAGTATTTACACTGTCTGGTTATAATAAAAAATCTGCTAACTGATGTGAGAATTAAACAACTGTTATTTGTGTTTTTCTTTTATTTTCCATCTGTTTTAACTCATTTCTACCTTTTTCATTGCTCCTGCCAGCCAAAACACTGAGGTGCATCACACCATAACTCTTTATATTATAAGAAACCACAAAGGAAATTGTCCAATAAACTGATGCAAGGTCCCTAAAGTTCAGGCTGTGTCTATGTAACTGTATAAAATTTCTGGTAATACTGTAATAACACAACACATTTTGCAATAAACAATGATGTAATTTCCCCAGTTGGTCCTATCAACAAGTAAGGGTCTAAACATTTGCCTAACACCCCCAGTCTAATTTTGCCTAAACATAGATGAATGATGCATTTTGGCAGTGTGCTCCGGAGATTCCAAATTTACACTGATGGAGGTGCCATAATTAAAGGTCAAGGTTTCAGAGTCTAAAGGCTATAGCTGCCACACAAACTGTTTGATTGTAATTATACTGGGGAGGAATGATGCATCTTGTTACTGAGTGGCCCAAAGGATTCCTGCATCCATCACTATAGGTAGACATTTTTAATTGAAAGTTAGTTTTTTCTGCACCTGAGGTCATTAAAGCTGCAGGAACTGTGATAAATATGCCTCCACTTAATCCACTTAATGGGGCAATGTCTTGTCTATTTACTGTAGTTTGACACTATATTTTGGTGGCTGTGTTGTTCAGTATAACAGGTATCATGTATGTAAAGATACTGGATGTGTTCTGACTCAAACAAAGCATAATTTCCACTCATGAAAAAAAACATACATGATAGTTAAAAGACGACCCATTTCCTGTCTAGCCATTATCATAGGCAATGTATTTTAGCTATCTCTCTCTGTGACAGGTAGATGACTCTCCTGAATGATCCACTCAATCAAAAAATAAGCTGAGGTTCATTGTTCATACAAGTCAGGAGATGTCTTGGGGAGAGGGCGTCCCCAATTCTCATCAATCACCCCCACGTGCATGTCAGCATTTTTGTAAAAATGTAAAATAAACCACAGGAAGCGAGGAGGAGGTGGTGCAGTTTGTCTAGCAAGAATGTGTGAACTTTAACTGTGTTATTTTTTGTGACTTATGGCACCTTTACATGTAAATGATAAAATCTTGTCATCTGCTAATTGCTTGTTCAATCAACAAAAGGCCAAAAACAGAATAAGAAGAGAGATGTATGATTTTCTATAATTTATTATGTCAAATTACAGTTTCATTTCTAATTAAGACATCTTTTTAAAAAGTTACACAAACAAAAAAAGTCCACTGACAGGCATTTTAATGACATCACCTCTTTTTTTTTTTTCTCTGGACAGCACAGAAGTCTAGGATGATTCCAGGCCAAATTTATCATACTGGGCACTTAAGTTTTTATGGCTCTCTCCTTTTTTCAACTGGGAAATGTCCCTGCTGCCTCTTACTAATATACCCTCGATAAATGTTGTATTGTTTTGTCAAATTTATTAAAACACCAACAAGCCAGAAAACAACACATCTCTTTGATAAACCACAGTAAAAACAAGACTGCAGCTAAACATGCCTTGTGATGACATGAAAACTCTCACAAACTAGTAAGTAAGAGTAATCTATTCACACTAGACTGAACATAACTACTGTGTGTTAGAGCAGAGTCAGAAGGCCTCCTGCACTGTGTAATTGCAAAATCATCAGTCTAAAGGTAGTGGGCATGTGGTTGGAAAGTAGCTGGTTCAAACCCAGACCCTCAGGATAAAATTGGGCAAGAAAGTGAAACAGGAGTGCTTGCCTTGAGTCCTGAGCAGCGCTTCTCATACTACTCTAGGGACCAACATAAAATATTTTGTTTGTTCTGAGCTGCTCCAGGGTGAGATTGTGTAAAGGAGGAAAGACATTTTTTCTTGGTCCTTGGATAAACAAAGATTCAGTCTAAGCAAGTGATTTACTCTCACATTCAATCACAAAATATTTTCTTACTTACACATATACCTGACTTTGTTTTAGCATGTAGACTACGTT